CTAGCCCAGTAACCGCATAGCAATGTACCTCTAGTTTTCTGTTGACCCTCCTGGCATTGCGCATCTAGCTGCTCTTGCAATGTTTAGAGCAAAACAAATGAATACATTGATGTCCACAGTTCACCTTGCCTCAGGTGGTGAAGGCCAGTGAAACTGTATTGATGAATCTTTGAGATCAAGCATAGCCTGGTGTCAATGTTGTGCTTTATTGATCCAGCTATGAAACATACTGATAATACCACAGTGTGCTTTTGAAAAACTTGAGTTATTTTACTTACTAGAATACTTGACCATGCCTCAAAGCAGGCCCTTGCACTGACATTTTGGAGGGCTGGGGTTCAAAGTGAAAAAAGGGACAACAGTCTCATTGCTGTTGTTTTTTCCACGGCCTCCTTGTACTTCTTACTTTGTGTGACTCGAACCAATCACAAGGCAAGATGGATATGATAATAAACAAAAATATTAATTTTACTAAAATGTTTTTAACTTTTATAGCTTTTATATGCTAGAATGAAAGCTTTCAACATGAAAGTAAGAAACTTTTAACTAACTATTTTAATACATCCGTACAAATTCAAATCTTACAATAATAAAATCTGTTATGTACTTTGGTACTTATGACATTATAGCCTCAAACACGTCAAGAGTTTACAATTATTGGCAATATTTTGTTTGTTCTGTTTGAGCTGCTATAGTGTAGACAGCCTGTTTACACATTGATTTGGTCTATAGAAATGTGTAAAAGAAGTTTTGAAAGAGGCAACGGATCCGACACTCTTAAAAAAGATGGTTCTTCAAGGGTTCTTTAGTAAAGAAAATGGTTCTATATAGAACCATGAACACTCAAAGAACCACTTGCATGCTTAAAGGCTTCTTTGCATGGTGAAATCAGGTTCTTCAGATTGATAGAGAATGTGTTCTGTATGGTTCTACACAGATTTCTTTAAGTGGTTCAATATAGCACCAGAAAGGGTAAGAACCCTTAAAGGACCATCTTTTTTTTAAGAGTTTAGTAAATTAAGTAACTTGGCCGCCTTTAAAAACGAGTTCATTGGAATTTGAATAGTAAGTTAAACTAAAACAGTGTAAAATACAACAGTATAAACAGTATAAAACAGTAATTGGTGCATTATATTCTGTCAACTGATCACTTTGGTAGTACTTCAAAGCAAAGCAAAGCAAAACATCATTTTGGCAAAAACAATGTTTGTTCTGAGACCTCTCCTTTTGTGATTGGTCCATTGCACAAAGCGAACTTCTAACAGTGCTGAAACAAAGATCTTTTTAAGTATACTTATGACCGTTTGTTCTGCTCTAGTTCAGCCTCATTTAGTTCTTTTGTTATTTAACATACACTGCCAGGTGTTATTTGTAGCTCAATAAAATCTAAATTTCAAGAGTTATGACATGCCAAGCCAACATTTGGGATTGCTGGTGTTTCTTAGAGTTGTGTCAGTGTGCTCTGGGCCTTAGCTGTATTTGGATCTGTTGTGTGAAATGATGGATGCACCGTGGGAGAGGCTTCAATGCAAGCTGTCAGTATGCTCGTGTCAAAGGTCAGCCTGAGCAGATGCGCTCTTGTTGATGATGTCTGTCATTTGATGGATTAGACACCTGTCTACTGTATCTAACCCAGCAGGCTCCCAGCCATCAGCCTTAAGGACGGCACCCTCACACCTGAGGATCAGGACTCCTACAGACACTGCACCATATCTTCAGCTGCACCGCAGTATAGCACAAACATCAACTACCACTGCCCACAACAACAACTAGCCTTCATAAGAGTTCCACTAATCTCTTTTCTGTTGCAGCTTTCTTGCTTGTAGACCAATTAAATATAGTCCTGTCAGACTGTTGAACGAGCGTGGTACCTCCAAACAACAAGCAATGCCAATAGCAGAGTGCCCACCTTCAATTAGCTCTGGCTCAGTAAGTGGATGGCTTCACATAACGATTAATCTTTAAAGCAAGAAGGACTGTACATCTGTGCACATCCTATAATTCCAACACAATAAAATCTGCCACATAATACAGTATCTCTGTCTATTAAATGTCCAGATTGAATGTTCTCTCACAGATATATAACTCACGGTAATGCCGGATCTGTATTAATATTGATCAAAGTCGTTGTAGCAAATATATTACATTAAACTAAAGGAGCAATGATATTCGATGTGCAGAATGTCAAGTTTAATCAGTGTGATATTGATCTTGGACACCAGGTTTGGAAGGGAAGCAAGAGAGAAAGCTTGGTGCTGGCCAGCCATTTCTTACAGAAGCATAATGAAAGTCTGGAAATTGAGATTCAAGGTTGAATTCATTTGCTTAGAGGACAGCGATCTTTGGTCATTTGCAAATGGCATCTGATGGGACAAATTACGCAAGGCCGGCTCATGTATTGCACCGTCCACTGAGAACAACAAGCTAACTGAAGATGTTTTTCAGCCATGAAAGAAAGAAAAAACAGCTTGCTACACTGACATAGCGAAATACACTATATGTCCAAATGTTTGTAGATATCTGCTCATCAAATGTTTCTTCTGAAAATGTAGAGTATTAAGAGTAGACTAGAGTTAGTCCCTCTTTGCTGCAGTAACAGTCTCTCCTCTTCTGTGAAGGGCTTTAGATGTTGGAACATTGCTGTAAGGGTTTGATTGCATTCTGCCTTGAAAGCATTAGTGAGGTCAGGTGCTGATGTTGGATGATTCTGGATGACTAGTGCCACTCTAACTCATCCTAATGATGTTCCAGAGAATGCAGGTCCACTGCTCCACAGCCCAGTGCTGGGGGGTTTTATATCCCTCTAGTTGATGCTTGGCATTGGGCATAATGACCTGACGTAAGGCTGCTCTAGAGTGCCCAATTGTGTTGGTACTACTTTTTTATGTAGTCAGTGATGCACACTTTTGGACATAGAGTACTGTATAAAAGTCAGAGACCACTCTCTGTTTATTTAGTTTCCAGTCAAAACGACAATTACACTGATCAGCCACAACATTATAACATTGTTTCTACACTCATTGTCTATTTTATCAGCTCCACTTACCACATAGGTTCACTTTGTAGTTCTACAATTACAGACTGTAGTCCATCTGTTTCTCTGCATACTTTGTTAGCCCCCTTTTACCCTGTTCTTCAACGGTCAGGACCACCCCAAGACCACCACAGAACAGGTATTGTTTGGGTGGTGGATCATTCTCAGCACTGCAGTAACACTGACGTGGTAGTGGTGGTGTTAGTGTGTGTTGCGCTGGTAAGAGTGGATCAGACACACCAGTGCTGCTGGAGTACTGCTGGACAGCCAACAGTGTCCTGTGAGCCGCATCCTGTGACCACTGATGAAGGACTAGAGGATGATTAACACAAACTGTGCAGCAACAGATGAGCTATCGACTCTGATTTCACATCTACAAGATGGACCAACAAGGTAGGAGTGTCTAATAGAGTGGACAATGAGTGAACACAGTGTTTAAAAACTCACTCATACCATTCATATCTTTTTTTTTTTACATTTTTCCACACCTCCAAAGTTCAGTCTTAGAAGTTGGCAGCACTTTCTGCTTCTCATCATCCAAGTAATCCTGAAAACATTAGATGAGGGTGAGGTGTGGGCTCTAAGGTGGTCAGTCCATTGTTCTCAGAACACCAGCAGCTTATTTGTATAGTTCCTTTTCTCAGTAACAGCTTGAGTTGTCTTCTCACAGTGGAAGGATGGAAAGAAACACTTTTGGATTTTTTCAAATCTGAAGCAAGAGTGGAGCTTGATTTTCTCTCCAAGATAAAGGCTTTCAGTTGTTTATCTGATGGTGACGGTTTTGGTGGTCTACCAGGTCTTGCACGGTTGTTGGGAGTGTAATTTTCTCATTGGAAAACGCTTTAATTCAAGTGGGTTATCTTATATTGAATCTTCTCTTCTAAAATACGTCCTGGAAAATGAGTAACTTCTACTTAATGGTCATTTTGAGAGGAAATGAAAAAAATCAAGATTGGTCTCTCACTTTTGCACAGTACTAAATAGTGCCCTTCAATAGAATACTGAAATTTAAATATCTTCCTGGGTACATACTAGATTTATTCAAACAGATTTAAAGCCTGTTTTGGGGGACAATATTCCGTTCTTCCATGCTAACCAGCAGTACGTCTCTAGGCAGCTGGCTAATCAATTTCCTGGATCAGCTCAGGCTGGAGGCAGGTGTGGACATAGCTGGCAAAAGCACAGGAAAAATATTTTCTTGATTCCAGTTTAACATGCTCAGCTCAGCTTTAGAATTCCAAGAATTAAAGGGTAAGTATGGTGCAACTTAGGTGGGAACAGTATGTTGTTATTTACAGAAAGTTAAGTTCAGAAAGTTATGAAGCCATTTATTCTTGTGTCTCGGTGCAAGGCGGTTTTAATATGCGTTGTAATGCATGGTGTGAATGAAGAACGACAACATCATCTACTGATCGCTAGCATTTCACTAGTTTTCACCTGTCTCCTTCTAGTGAAATGCTATGCAATGTAAAAGCAAAGTACTGTAGCGACAGGGTGGAAGAGCAGTGGCATGCCAGAGAACTGGGCGTGTAATTAGCAGGCAGAGAGCATCCTGTGTCTCTCTTGGCCCTGGATCAAGTCTGCACGCTCAGATCACTTTCAGAGACATTTGAAATGATTTTCTGCAGTGCGTTACCGGACCACTCACCTGCTTTGTCATACTGCTCCCAAGGTCACTCCATCTGGAATATGTGCCGCAAACATTGCACGACACTTTTGCTTATCGCAAACGTGTATTATTTTTAAATAAGAGCCTTGAACCTATTCATTTGTATGTGGTTTGCAGATACTGAACTTCAGGTGACTCCCCCAGTCGCTTTCTTCACACTGTTTTCTTGAGCACACACACACAATGTTGCTCCCACCACCAGTGCATCATAGTTGTTCAGCCAAATAAGGGAAGATTGGAAGGTAGGGGGTGTAGAGAGAGAGAGAGAGAAAAAGAGAGAGAGAGCGGAAAGGGGGAGGGAATGTGGGAGACAGTGACAGAGGGAAAGGTAGTATAAGGAACAAGAGAGAAAAAAACATCACCAGAGCTGTTGCAGTGGATACAGGTTTTTTTACTGCACGTAGAAGCTGCTCTCTTTTCTGATATCCTGCCATTTGAGTTTGGAAAGCTCATTAGGTGACTGAAAAGCTGGCATTTAAAGGCTTATTCTGTTACTGATCAATACTAATTGAAAACTAATGGATAATTAAATCTGCTACTGGGATTCTGATCCACTTAATGCCATTTGGCAGAATTGCTCAATGACTTCAAATGTTTTTGCATCTCTTCATGGACATAACAATTTGAACATTTTCAGACAAGCGCTGACCAATTAGCTGCCGAGAGGAGCCAGGATGGGTCCAGCCAGGAGCGTCCAGCTAGTCCTGATTCTCTGCCTTCAGCACAGTTACGGTAACATACCTCATTTTCATACTGACTTCTGCTCTCCTCACAGAACTTTCTGATTGCTTTTTAGCGGTAAGAACTGACAGCAGCTGTTTAAGGTAGAATGCCAGTGCCGTGCAGGAATGCAGAGAGTTTGAACCGAAATGTTTTTGCTAAGAACTTCAGTTTTCTCTCAAAGTTGATTGTGAAGCAGACATTTTACAGAATTCTATTGTACTGTATAATAAGAAGATTTACGAGATACTGATAAAGTTCATTATCAGGATATTTCATGAATATATGATGGTGTCGCTATCAGATATCAGATATTAATAAAGCTCATAATGCATTAGCATTTATAAAGTTAATGAGCCCATTCTTCATGCATGCTGGTACTACACTAAAATAATTTACATTACATTATATAACAGTTGTATTATAGTTTGTTTTCAGGACTGCTTTGTAGAAATAAAATATGTTTATTTATTTTCTCCAGAGTTTCAAAACAATCTGAAGCACTTGGCAAATGATATAGATTACAGTTAAAGGGTGCAGCCTAAAACAAGGCAAAGCAACTATTAAGTATTATGAATAACTATAAAGTTATTCATTTCTCAGGAGATATTTCTGAGGAGATTAATGTGACATGAGATAATTCACTTGCACGAGAAAGGTGAAAGTCAAAGCAAAGATCCAGAGAAAACTTGACCCCTAACAACCATTGCCAGACCCAGTAGACCACCAGAACCACCATCACCATGGCACCATCACATAAACAGGATTTAAATTGCTACAGCTGAATGAAAGGCAATTCATGAAATGCCATTCATTTTTGACATAGAGAAACCCGGCTTGGTTCCCAAAATGGACTTGACGTGGATTAAAGAATGATGACACAACTTCAGAGGTCTGTTGAATGTGTTTGGGATTATTTGTATCATGAAAAGCAGAAAATGTAAACCAACTTCTAAGACTGAACTTTAGAAAAATATCCCTGCACATTTCTTTGAAAAACTGAATGCAAGTCTCCTGAAAAGAATGGAACAAACACAAAGGTGAACACATTAAGTACTGATAAATTTGATAATATTAGTTGTTGAAGCTACAGTTAGCGTAACTCTTACTTCAGCCATCAAACAAGAAAGGCTTTTTTTCTGTTAAAGAACTTATTCAAATAGGGAAAGCGTGCTCAGTGTAGTATACCTGCATGTGGAAAATAAGAAGAGGTGAATGCTAAAGTCAGAGCAATTGGCTACCTAACACTCTTGCACCAGACCTACCCTTCAGTGAGAGGAACACAAAACAAATGGATCTAAGATATGTAGATACCCAGGTAGCTGCACTACTAGCTGTAGCTTTTAGCTTGTTGTCTTATCTGCCAAGTAATTTCTGTCATTTTCTCCATTATAATGATGATTTGTTATCATAAACAGTTATTACAGTTGCAATAAGATATTCGACTTTCTAGCAGTAACGGTTCTTACTTGGCTTCTTTGTGCATTAACCAACTAAAGAAAAGAAACATTCAAGCAGCCTGTTCCCAAGAAATCCACCGTGAAGCAACAATAGTTTCTCAAAAGTTCCTCCCACCTTCAAGATGCTTCATCAGAAGGGGGCTTTTCTAGGCTTTAGGATAAAAAAATCCCCCTAGAGCAGAGTTATCACAGTTTTGAAATGTTCATTAGTTTTATGTAGCTTTTTATTTAGATTTTTAACTTCAACTATTTTCAGTATTTAAACTAGTTTCAGTTAGTCTTACAGATGCATTCAGAGTTTTGGTAATAGTTTTTATTTGTTCAAGTATTATACTGAATGCTGTGATAGTAGGTAGGAATAGAATAAAATTAACCCCATGGCTTGTCTTGGCTCCAGCTTTTCCTAAAGACAGCCAAACACAGATTCATGCACTGAGAAAGATGAAAACTAAAGGTAATTTCTCAGTAATTCTGTTTATTTTTTGTTTTGTTTTTGTGTTTTTAAAAATTTTAGTTTTTTATTTCCAGTTAACAAGCACATTTTTTCACTACTAGTTTTCAGTTTAGTAATAGTTTTAGTTAACTATGATAACCCTTCCCTAGAAACTGCTGTACCACTGCAGGATGGTTCTGGATACTAGATGTATATAGATATTATTAGATGTACTAAAAAAAATGCTTGACAACACTGCTACATTAAGGGCATTAAATTATGGATGTGGTGGATATGGATATTATCTATAAACTGTATCACTAAAATTATAAATTAAATTATAACTATTATAATATATAGCAAAACAATTTCATGTCAATATTACAGTATACAGGTCTAGACAATATATCGACCAGCTTTTCAGATATTCTCAAAACACCCTACTGAAAAAACACAGTACAGACGAGTATGAACTGCATGATAGTCTAAGCTGGTTTATGCTGATTTATGCTGGTTTACATTGGTCTGTTGCTGATTTAGCTGGTCGCCCAGAGTGGGCATGCTGGTTCACCAGCATACCAGCATCCAAAACAGAACATATGCTGGTTTAGATGGTGATCAGCATAGTAACTTCCATTGCTGCTGACCAACATACCAGCATCCCAAACACAACTTGTGCTGTTTTTTCTAGCAGGATATCATAAAATTAGCCTGATTACACCTTACATTTGAAGAGGTTATTTTGAAATGGTTCATTTTTTCTAAAACCTCTGGGGAAGTGATGAGGTAGGTATTGACAAGATATTAATCTGAATGCTGCTGCTGCCTGACCAGTGATTTAGAGTATATTTAACTTCTACCCTGCATCAGCACATTGATGTTCTGTACTGAAGAACATCTCAGCAAGCTTAAAGAGACTTTAGGAAAAGGATTAGCAAGGCAGAAGCTAAATGCTTGACCTCATCTCACAATGTATACCGTGTAATTGTCTGTTTGTTTGTCTCGCTCTTTCAGTGTGTACACTCACTCCGGCACGTGCCCATGCAGAGGAGAGGCTGCTTCAGGTTTTATTCAGCCGCTATAATAAGCTCTCCCGTCCTGTAGCAAACATCTCCGATGTAGTCCTGGTCCACTTCGGCCTGTCCATCGCGCAGCTCATAGACGTAGTGAGTTTCACTGGCACTGTACAGTTCGTAAAAACTCTAGCTACAAAAAAATCATCCAGTCACATCAGCCTGTTAACACAAAACAATACTTTCAAACTTCATGACCATTAGTTTTATCACATCACCTCTTGAAAAGAAATATGATTACACTAAATAGACTTATTTGATCTGAAAATACCATTTTAAACATTTTTATTTTGTACCTTACTGCAGGACGAGAAGAATCAAATGATGACCACCAATGTGTGGGTGAAACAGGTATGTTTTGATCAGTTGGAGCATATAATTGAAAATTAATGAGATTTTTAATTGGAACTGGGCTTCCATTACTCCTCTCTCAGTTCTCCTGTCATGCCTGCTGATTCAGAACATTGATGAGAGTGTATGTGTCCTGACAGGAATGGAGCGATTACAAGCTGCGCTGGAACCCTGAGGAGTATGAGAATGTCACCTCCATCAGAATTCCCTCTGAGCTCATCTGGAGACCTGATATTGTGCTTTATAACAAGTGGGTGATTCTTTATATTGAGTCCACTTTTAGCCAGACCACTCAGATCAACACCAACACACAGTCCAGGTTATTCCATTAAATGATTTCTGATTTCTTTTTCTTCTCCTGTTTGAACTTTTCTTACTTCCTGTTCTACTCATGCTGTGAACTGTCAGAAAAGAATAGTGTCCAGGTAAATTGTCCGACTCTCAAAGGAACAACATGGTCCTTGAGGTCCAATTAGGAACCTTAATGAGTTTTAGAGGAACACTACATTCACTTCCCATGGGGTACATTTGTACCTTTTTATAACTGAATGAAAAAATAAAAAAGCCTGGAGTCAAGAAAGCGTGTATGGAGACAAAGCAACTTTAAAAATATATCAACAGAATGGTACAATTAGGTTCCCTACCTAAAGGTAATAAACAAACTCTGTCACTTGCGTGGTACAACCTATAGTGACAGTGTTTGTTCCCTGAAAGTTTTTTCTAAGAGTGTATGATAGAATGATTACAACATTAATCTAAACTGTGACTGAGGCACACTGTGGCAATTGTTAACATAATGTCTGGATGTGAATTAAAAAAAAAAAACATAAACTTTCTATACAGTCACTGATTTGATATATACTGGTTTGACTTCCAAAATTGTTAGTACCTTGTTATAGATTTACAAAAATGGGTGCTTATCAGTTTGACTGTACACTCAACATATGAGAAGCCTAAATTTTCAGTGGTGTAAAATTGTTGAAAAAGTTATATTATTATTTTTTCCTAAAAATTCTCACACATCACTAGAAATTCTAGAGGCAAAATCAAATGAATATACATTCCTGTTTAAGTTTTACTTGAGTCTTTGTGAACGCTCAGATAATCCACTAAAGAGGTAATGCAAACTATTTGGAAGGCTCTGCCAGGGGAAAGACTCTGCTATCATCAAATCATTAAAACAAGAGTTTGCTAAATATTTTCTGAACTTTTATTGGAATCAGATTCTATGGCCAGATTAGACATTCAATTTTGCGAACAGTTTTTGGTGGGCTTGGTGTAAAACGACTTAAAAAAAGAGCCTAATATCTATTGTGAAGTATGGTGGTGGAAAAACCTAATACATGGCATCATACACATCAACTCCTTGCCAGGAGGCTAAGACTGGATAATGTCTGAATCATCGTTCAGGATAATGATTGAGCTCTTGCAGAGGCCATCCAAGTTCCCTGATCTAAACCCACTGAAAACCTGTGGGGTGAGCTGAAGAGGAGACAAAAATGAGATCAAAGACTGAAGGGTCTGGGAATATTTGAAATCGGGAAATGGTGTTTGATGCCTTTACATATGCTCTCCCACCTCATAGAGTATTATAAGAGAAGACTTTGTAGCTATATTGGCAAAAAGAAGGTGAGAAAGTGCTAGATCAAGGGGTGCCAATTAACTATGATAACTTGATTTTACCTCACTGAAAGGTTAGATTTCTTCAGATTTTTCTTCCTTTAGATTTTTTCACAGCTCATTTTTGCCATTTTTCAAAGGTGTACAACTCTGCAGGGCACTATAAGCTATTATTTCCTCAATTATAACTTAACATCTTTTTTGTTCCAGCGCTGATGGAGATTTTGCTGTGACACACCTCACTAAAGCCCAGCTGTTCCATGATGGCAGAATCAAATGGAAGCCTCCGGCTATATACAAGAGCTCCTGCAGTATTGATGTCACGTTCTTCCCTTTCGATCAGCAGAACTGCACCATGAAATTTGGCTCGTGGACCTACGACCGGGCCAAGATTGATCTCGTAAGCATGGACAGCGCTGTTGACCAGATGGACTACTGGGAGAGCGGCGAGTGGGTCATCATCAGGGCTGTGGGAATGTACAACACCAAGAAGTATGAGTGTTGCACGGAAATCTACCCCGACATCACCTATTCCTTCATTATTCGTCGACTTCCTCTCTTCTACACCATTAACCTCATCATTCCATGCCTACTGATCTCCTGTTTGACCGTTCTGGTGTTCTACCTGCCCTCGGAATGTGCAGAGAAGATCACGTTGTGCATCTCCGTCCTCCTTTCCCTCACTGTCTTCCTCTTGCTCATCACCGAGATCATCCCCTCTACCTCTCTGGTGATCCCGCTCATTGGAGAGTACCTCCTTTTTACCATGATCTTCGTCACACTCTCCATCATCATTACAGTGTTTGTGTTAAACGTTCACCATCGCTCCCCCCGCACGCACCGCATGCCTCACTGGGTGCGGCAACTCTTCCTCCACCTGGTGCCTCGTTACCTGTTCATGAAGCGCCCCCCCGCTTCTGGCAAGAGGAACTGCCGCAAGCTCATTGAGATGATGCATAGACCGGTGGTGCCACCGGCCATGTTGTTGGGAACAACCACCCTCCCTCCTTTGGAGAGCCCCCGACCTGATGCGGATATGGTCTCTGCTGCTCCTTTAGGTGGGCTACAGAGGGAACCAGCTGCCAAAACTCCACTTTTCTGCAGCTCCCCCAGCAGCCAGTACTCCATCCTGCAAGAGGAACCCACACAGGTGCCCCGCACACCTGCGCTCAGGTACACGCAAACACACAACACTTCCACCTCCAGCCCCTCCTTGTCTTTAGACACAGCCCTCGGCCCTCTACTTCACACACTTCCCCTGACTGAGATATGCCAGTTCTACTGCCACAGTGCTGAGAGCGTATTCGTAGATACCAAGGAGGGACTGCATGAGCCAGAGAGTCCTCAGCACTGTCACAAGCATGAGGGGACAGCCCTACAGGCCCACTGCAGTGCAGATGGAGGTGGAGGCGCTGGGCAATGTACAAGACACAAACTCCTTGAGACACAAAACTCAAGCTCCAACTGCAGCAAAGAACCCAAAACTGAAGAAGTGGACAGTCCACTGTCTCAGGCGCTGCTGCGAGCTCTCGAGGGAGTCCAGTACATCGCTGACCACCTCAGAGCTGAGGATTCTGACTTTTCGGTAAGTTTCCAAACTCTAGCTAAAGCTGCTTTTAAATGCAAAAACAGCTTAGAAGTGTCAGGAGATGGTACTGTATGTTCTGCCGGAAAGATTCCACACCTATGCTTGTGAAATTCAGTTCTGTTGCGCTTTTCACCATTTCATATGGATACAAGCTCAATTCCGTGGGCGTTAGCAAGACACAAGCTTCACATACCAGGAAAAGGTTTCAGCTTCTTTACAAATTCTTTGAGCCACTTTGGGCCAGACATATTTTGTCATTAATTTTTTACCAGCAAGAAAAAAAAAGATCTATAAAACAACCTTCTCACAGGAAACCGGTCATGCACAAAAATCAATCTGAGATGTAAAGACTTGATTGGAAGATGTAGCTTGAGATTTAATGCTCATTGGATGTCCTCTCTTTTTTACCAGGTAAGGGAAGACTGGAAATACGTTGCCATGGTGATCGATAGAATATTCCTCTGGATGTTTGTGCTGGTGTGCATTCTAGGGACAGCTGGACTGTTTCTTCCTCCCTGGCTGGCTGGAATGATCTAGAATTCACCATGGAACACAGAGTTGGATGTGAGCAGAAGGGAGATGGCAAAGAGACCTGCCAATCACTTTCTGTGTCCTCATTAAAACTGATCTGCTGTATTTTTCTGTGTGCATATATAATTTCACAGTAGCGCATTCCACAATGGCCCGTGTGGCCAACATAATGATGAAGCGCTTTTTCAAGGTCAGCTTATATTTCACTGAGATGCGTTCATAAAGCATATATATTCATTTCCGTCCTTTCAGCAATGTACGATTTCGGTCACAGTTAATCTGTTTTACCGACTGCCAGATCGTGTTCGTTCCTCTGTGTATTATTCCACTCAGCTCTGAGAAGTGTCAATTTTTATGCACTCTTGTCATTGGCAAATTCTATCCACAAGCCTTCATGCTATTTATTATGCGTTACAACTTTATTTGTCTATGAAACTTTTGACATCTGGAGGAAAAAAATTCTTTTAAACACTCAGATAATGTAAGCTTTGTACCTGATGTTGAAAATTAGTTAAGAATAAAGTAGTTAATGATTATATGTGTACACACTGTTTGTACTGTGCCACAGCTGTGAGTTTTTGCAATTAAATTAGTTCTTAATAAATAACTTTAATACATTTTATTCTTGTTCAGGATTGGTGTTCTGTTAGTAGCTCTCTCTCTCTCTCTGTACCCTTAGGACAAATCTCTCTCCGTCTAAACAAATCTTGAATAATTGCCCTCTTCCCTTCCTGGTTGTGACAAATGAGTTGGCATGAGGTCATTATGAATGTCGATGGCAAAGTTAAATTAATGTTCCAATACAGGTAGAACATCCCATCTCGGCCCACAGACAGACTAAAGAGAAACTGTGACAAGCTCCCTTGAAGGTGTCACAATTCACCCTGTTAGCAGTTGCATTAGGATACCAGCAACAAACAGTGAACAGAATTCATTTCCTCACACGTTAAAGATTGCTTGGAAATTTAGCATGACAAAATTGACCTTTCCTTGAAAGATTCATGAGCAAACAGAAAATTACCTCTCAGATCAAAATGAGGTATTGCCTGTTTACTTATTTATTAATCAGATGAACAATTACTCCTCTCAAACTCTTTACTGCAACATCCAGCACAAATGGAGCCATCATGAATAAAGAATATTAAGAGCAGCTTAGTTCAAAATCTGCCTCTTTTAAACGTTTTACTGTAACAGTTTTTTAATCCAGTATATTTATGACAAATTGCTCATTAAACATCCAAAGGTGCATTCTATGGTATAATCCCAATTAAACTACACTTACAAAACAGTAGAAGTGTCCTAACTGAGCTTTTGACAGCATTAAACTGCACTAAGAGCAGCTTATTTGTCTGGTATATCCTGTTCTGTCCTCCTGAGAGGAAGACAGAAAACACATTAATATTACAGCAACATGCACTGCCTTGCTCAGCACACAAATAGACCAAGATTTCTAGACCACATAACTTAAAAGAATGTAACTGTTGACGTTCCAACTCCCTGGTTAATCTTGCTGTAGCTAATTTACCTATATCTGCTGCACACTCACTTAACAGGAATACTCAGTGTGACGTTTTAAAAAAAAATTTAATTAAATGCATGGTCTACTGAACCAGTTCAAGAGATGAACAAGATTATGAAGCACTTTCAAATAGGAAACAAAATTCTGAGAAGAATCATGAAAAAGAAAAAGGACAAATAAAAAAAAAAATTAAACAATAACATTGGCTCCCTGAAAAAAAGGTCATTTCGCATTTACTTTCTGTCTCATCTCATTTATAAGCAGACACCATGCTCAGTGGTTCAAATATAGGATGAACACAATTCATAATAGCAGTAGTATGAATAAGAACACAGAAGACTGTTTGTGATTTGTGAGAAAGCAAGTATGAGATCAAAATTCAGTCATTTTTTTATGTGTATCTGCCTTCTTCTGAGCTCTTTGGATGGACTGCTCCTGAGCCTTCAGCTGCCGCAGCAGCTTACGAGATGCAGCAAGCTTCTCCTCCACCCGGCTCATCAGTGTGGCATCCCTGTGGAAGGAGAGAGAGAGAAAGAACACCAGATTCAGGAGAAGAGTACACGAAAAAGACAAAAATAATAGGGAATAGAGCCCTACCTACCTTCCGTTTCGTCTGTTCAGAGACTCTGTGAGTCGCTGGATTTCTTTCTCCACCTGGCTCACTCTCTCGGTGGCCTGAAAGAGCTGGACGTTAAGGGAGCGCTTGGTGCTCTTACCTCCCTGATAGGCCTCCACCCCACTGGCCGAGCAGCTAACGGAAGGCATGGTAGCAGAACTAGTGGCATCTCCCAGTTTAGAGTTCAAAAAGTCAAACACATTAGGGCGCGTTGAAGTAGAAGTCCGCTTCCTTTTTATTTTCCGTTTGCCAGAGACTGGATTGTCTTTGCCGATGGCAGCCCGAGTCTTCCGCTGAGTGAGCTCTGCACACTGGTCTAAGGAGCGGCCTTTAGGGAGGACCACAGCCTGCACAGGCTCCACACGGCCCGAAAGGGTCTTCCCCAAACCTGCACAAAAGTACACAAGCTGAAATTTTGCACAGGAATTCCCAAAGCACTGCAAAATTCACAGAGATACTCCTCTCTATTCTAGCTAAGCATTTATTCTGAACAAAAATGTTACTACCTCCCATATTTCATATAGCATTACATGGTCACTGGAAGGGGTCTCTTACCTTTCCCTAACTCATAGCCCATTTTCAGCAAGAGCTTAGAGCCAATGCCACGAGTATGAGCTTCCCAGCCGCAGAACTCAGCAGTGTTTGCTGGGGTGAAGTCCTCCTCTTTATATGAACTGAAAACTGAATGTAAAACAGGCTAGATTTTTGCACTGTTAATAACAAAACATTACAAAACATGATACAATTCAAAAGTGGCATTCAAATAAGTGTCATGGGACTTAATCTGCTGGAAAGAGTATTTTAATTCTCTTATTTTAGGACCCTTAAGCAAACAGCCCAATCTTGAAGGGACAAACCTTTAGCATAGCCTGCGTCACATTCTTCAGAGTCTTCTTCTGAGTCAGAGGAGGAAGAGGAGGATTCGTCTGGCCGGAGAGGAGGAATTACACTATCAGCCTCCAGGACAGCCTCCTTCAGCAGCAAAGAATCAAATTTTACTGTGTAAAAGCCACCCTCGATCTCTGGGAACAGTAAAGGGACATTAAACGTCAGTGTTCAAACAAAAGAAAAACACAACCGAAAAAATATGATAACCAAAGCAAAGATAAACAAACAAAATCAAGCTCTTGTTAAAATTCTTGTTCTTAAAACAGTGAAAAAAATTCTGGACAGAACGGCTGAGGAGTTGCACCTGTAATTTTGGCAGGATACCAGATGCTGTCTTCATGCTTGGCCAGACACGAGGATCCCGGCTGCATGTTTGTAAGATCTGCTTCAAGGAAGTCCCTCAGCTCGGACACACGCACCACCTCCCCATGAGAGTACCTGAGTGACAACCAACACGAACACAGTCACAAATGGCTTATTATTTCTGCACTCTCAAGAAGAACCAATATAGAGAAATGACATATGGAAACAGCTAAAACGTCAATCAAAAATATTCAGTACAATAATACACACAAATATGCCCCATCCAGCTTTCTACATATGCTACATAGTATAACCAAGATCCACTATTCGCTCATAAAAATATCCAGATGCCATTCTCTGACTCACACACATGTTAAGATTTTTTAAAAATTCCAAAATTACTATTACATGAATTTAAAATAAGTTCAAACAAGCTTGAATACCTGCAGGTGTCCATGAAGCGGCACTTGCCTTCCAGAAAGAAAGGGCAGGGTTTCATGGACTTCTGTGTGGGATAGAGGTAAAGCACTCTCACTCGAGTCTCTTCCCCATCTGGTTCCTCAGAGCACACTACCATGGCATTATGGTACTCAAGTGTCCCCCAAGAGGTGTGATAAGGTGCTCGTACTTTAGTGCCACTAATATCTTCTTCTTCTTCTTCCTCCTCCTCCTCTTCCTCATCATCAGGCTTGGGGCTTTGCACTACCTCCCCACCACTCTCAGACAGCTCAGAATAAAAGGCAGCAAACTCTGCGTCCAAGTTGGTCTCCTTGGGCTGTTCTTGAGTCTCAGTTAGTGTTGTTGAGGAATCCTCAAGTGAAGCTAAAAGTCGGCTCTTCTTGACTGAAACCAAGCTGGACTCTGTAAGTTCAATAAGCTGTAACAGATCCTCTTTTAACTTAAGCAGGTCTGCCTGCTCAGAAGCACCCAGACCACAGGCCAGGGCAGCCTCCACCTGCTGAAGCTGAGCATTGTAGGTTTCAATGGCTTGTTCCAGGCTGCCTTCATCCATGACAAGGAGCTAAAATAGGAGGTGCCTGGAAATCTGCAGGAACATGGGAATGTTGCAGAAAGCTCTTCTTTTCACCAATAGCATTTGTGTTTTACTCAGTAAATTGACCATACAACAGAACACATTACATCTTTATGCTATACCATGTAGTTATGACATGTCTGTGGATGAAAAAACACTTAAAGGCGATGAGTCATTTAAGACTGATCCAGCTAGCTAGATCAATTTAATATTTTTTTCTTTACTAGTTACTAAGATTTCACTTACATATTATTTCCATGCAGCTTTCAGCTTTCTTTTGACTTCGTGAACCCTAACAGGCTCACTTGCTAAAGAAACTTCCCTTTTAATGTAGCCTTTCTTGTACCTTCTGGCTACTAACTACCAACTGTTCAGAAAGCTAATTGACGATTGGTGACAACTGGGTTTGTACGGCTCCAAAAACAACCACAAGCTACGAACAACCATGAAGGTCGGTTTCACAGAGAGCTAGCTAGCCAACTTGCTAGGCTAATAACAAAACGCCGGTTTGGTACACTTCGGCTAGCTAACTGCTAACCTAACCTAGCTAACTCAACAAACCCGGAGGTCTTTTGCCGTCTTCGTCCACAGATATTTCATAAAAATGTAACAAAACCAAGCATCCTGGTCTTACGTTGCCTTACATTAAATAGAGCTTTAAGTCCATGCGGATATACTCGGCTGCGCTGCGTTTCTCTTCTTTCAAATCTGTTTTGTACTTGCGGCTATGCAGCTACCTAACTTACTAGCAGAAACTACTGAAGAGGGCTGGGAGTCGATTCTCCCAAAGCTCTGAACTCGATTCCTCACAAGAGTCACTCAAGCGCTGGTGCGAATATTCTGCCGTCACTCTTTAGACACCTGCCTGAAAAAGTGTCCTTCCATTCACTAGATTGTCTAGATTTTGCTCTGGGCAAAGATGAAAACAAAGTAATGTGTACAATTTGTGAAAAAAATCAACTTGCTTACAATCAACTTTTGCTGAAACATCCACTCTAAGCTGACAGAATAAAATCAGGTACAATTTACTTAGCCCCGATTTATGCCACCAAAGTTTATCATTAGCTCTCCAAACTGCCTTGCTAATGTTAAATAAGTAGAACTGAGGTGGGAGCACACGAAGTTAATGTCAGGGTCCACTGTCCAGTGTGTATTGTGCTCTTGGAATCGATTTATATCACTCACCACAAAATCGGAGCCGACTCCAAAATTGGAATGGACAGCCTACTACACGACGTCATTCAGGAGTTTCAGTCTGTAGTTTATCTTTCATATGCATGTTCTTATAAGCACTGTTGGGAGTGAACATTACACATACCAAAAAAATCTAAATACTATATTATGATCAATGCCACCTTTATTACATAAATAAAAATTGTAACAAATGGATATATAGCATTTTAACACTTTATATACTACTTTATATAGTTCATCATACAGTCACAAATCTTAAATGAGATGATGTACAAGTACAAAAATATTTTCATGTATCTTTGAAAGGAAAGGAATTCCACTGTGAATTTAAAACTTACAGTTTTATAAAAGCACACATTTACATTATTTTTGCCATGTATGGTACATGTATACAAAATGTAAATAAACTAACTGCTCTGCTTCATATGGAGATAGAATCAGAATAGTAGATGGGGCTTTTTCCTTTAAACCAAATGAATCCGTATGGTCTTCTGGTCAGGAGAAGAAGGATGATATCTTGCTCTGTGATTTTCCTGCAGAGAGTTGTGAAACTGGAGAAAAATAAAATGAAACAAATCAATATTTTATTGTGCTTGCATAACAAAGTGTTTTACATCAACATGTCTAGCTTCTATCTATTTTATAATCAGTTAGGTCTTTATAACAATGACTTGAACATGAGAATTACCAGAGATTAGCAAATACGTGTTCTTGGACCCGGGACAAGTGTGATCTGAATTCTACCTGGAATTGGGTGATTGGAAGCCTCTTCTGAGTCCTGGCAGGTCTCTAAGGCACTCCCAGTCAAAGATCTTAACATCTCAGAAAACTGCTGACTATGGTGTGGTGGAATAAACACAGCTAACCCTAAACAAGACCAAGGAAACATCAACAGTTAAGTTTTCATATTTCTCTACATCTTAAAAAAAACTAATGCCGGAAGGCTTTCAGGGAGATGTTACTGCCTCTAGGTGTAGATCAAGAAACTCACGCTTTAGAAGCACAATGTCTTCGTCTCGTTCCGTCAGCAACCCCACAACTGTTGATACCATCTGCTCATAATTATATGTCTTCTTGTACATCTGCAGCGCTACAAACAGTTGATTGGTTTTTTCAGCACCAATGGCCTGTTTTATATCAGAGAGCAGGGTCGCGCTGAACTGACTGTCTTTGCCTGACTTCTGTGGCTTTTGGAGTTTCTGGTCCTTCACACTTGTATTTACTGTGAATGGAAAAAAAAACACTGATACAGATGGAATACAGTGCATTCCATATATTCTATTTTTACAAACTAGGGCTGCACAAAATATCAGTTGTTACTGCAATTTTGCCATTTGCAATACTGATCTTGCTGAAGGCTGCAATATGCCAATGAGCCCGATAACCAATCATAATATTTTGTACTGTTTACTGCAAGCACTGTGACAAATCACAGTTTCAGAGTGCTACTGTGGTGTTTTAATGAATCAAGGTATCCTAACACCCAAGATAAACATTTTTGGCCATCAGAAATTATGGCTGAAAATGCTCAAAAATAGCACTTTCTGTGTGTGAAAAAAGGTATGAAAAGTTTGGCCAAAAACCACCCACAAAAAATTAAACAGGACAACAACAAAAGTGTCACAATCACTAAAGATTTTACACAATTTTAACTGTACCGAAAATGAGAAACAGTGAATAAAAACACTGTGGGGAGGTGGCTGTGTGGAACTATTTCACAGTGACGGATATGAAGGATATTAGATAAGTGATTTATAATCTCTGTTTATCCTGAGTATCAGCAGGATGTACTGTGATGGAAAAATGCAAATCTGTGTCTAACATTAGAATCATTGCACATAACCGACTACATGTACAACACCCAAGAACTTCTACATTACAGGCTTGATGCCACTTCAATGCACAATATCGTGCTCAATATGCATAATACAGTAAAACAACAGAAGCAGAAAGTCTCAGTTAGCACGATGACTTCATCTGTCACCCCGGTTTTAATCATTTGAAAAACAAGTTACTAATGATAGATCCAAAGTGCAAAGTAAAACAAAACAAAACAAAAAAAAAAATAGAATACAATGCCTGGGATAACTAACTGTTCTCCGGATTTCACAGATACATTCTGTAGTCTACATTCTGTATTTTAGTAAGTTTATTTGATGTAACGTGTTTTATTGAAAGCAGATTTTATTAAGAATGCAATGTACTTTTAGTTGTTATGTTTATTACATTTAGTACAGAAAAACCCTACAACAACTCTTTCCATTAGGTGCATCTTGAATTTTGATTTTGGGGCATCACTAATAAAAATGCAAATGAATGCAGTCTTTAACAATATCACATTATAGACAGACCAAAGCATTTTAAATAAATTGCAAGCTGCATCACATTTGCAATATGTAGTAATAGAGTAATATGCAAAAGTCAGGTTTACAAACACATTCTCTACAAAGAAATTCTGCATATTTTGATGCACTACTATGGACTAAATTTAACATATTGGGAAAAAATAAACCTTAAAATGTGGACTGTGCAAAAGTTAAGGCATTAACTTTTTTTTCCAATATGTTAAACTTAGCAAATAAATAGAACTTGTGCATTAAAATGGTCATATATAAGAAAGATGTCATATTTAAGTTTATTTTCTGTAGAGGATGTATTAACCTTTCACTTATCAACAATCAATAAAACATGTAATTTGACCAGTGGTACCCAAACATTGCATATGACTGTTTAAACACAACATTACTAAGCTGTCCATATTGTTTCGCTTTTACACAAACAAAAGATGTTGGGACATACATACCTCCACACAAACTGTGAGTTCCCAGATGAGAGCCACCTTGATTCAGTTCTTTGCTTGAGTCTAGTTGTTTGCTTGTGCCCATTTCAGAAGTCTTCACTTTGGCTGAAAGAAAAGAATGTACAGCTAAAGCAAGCAGCAGCCAACCATTTTCCTTGATGGTACCATTGTTTTGATGGCTAGGTGTTCTCTCTGGTTTAGAAAACAAAAAGAAAAAAAAACAAAACACAGGGAACCACGTAACAGTGAGCACGTTACCTGTTTGTTGCATGAGCGTCTCCCTCTCCTCCCTAGACAGCGAGTGCTCAGGCTTGTAGCCACAGCCCTGGCCCGTAAGCAACTGACACTTCTCATCAAACTGCTTCTTGTGGTGTGGCCGAATAAACTGGTAGAGCCCTTGAGAAAAATTATACATGAAGGCACAAAGATCAGAACGTGTCCCAGTGGAACCCGAGATGTGGGCTGCATAAAGTAGCCAACAGAGAGGGTTCATGCACCTCATGCACCTATTTCAGATCCATCTTATTGGCTCAGAAAAGATTGTGATAAGTTACATGTATATTTCAATGGGTGGCACTGCTTAGAAGTTTAAACTGTAAATAATGAGCAGGTATTTTTATTTAGCAAAAGCTGTGCTAATGTTACAGTGTGGGGTAGAAAAAGACATTTTTCATCACTCAACATGGTGGAATATAAGTCTGAGCTTGCTCTTGTTTTCAGGAAACAATATCAACAAGACAGAGCAATAATCCAGCGGATTTTGGGAAGGGGTCACTGTATTTTTCTGATACATGTCCTTCTAGCACATTAAATAATCACAGAAAAGTGACCAGGATTTACTGCCATCCTCCTGTGGTTCATGCAACCAGTCTCAATGAACAGCCAACCTGTACTGAATACAGACTTTAAGACATTTAGGAAAACCAAACAAATCTGCAAAACCTATGTACTCTCTTAAAAGAGTTAAAAGGCAATAATAAGGAAGCTGCTAAAACATGAGGAAACAGAGACTGCTACCATGCTCCACTTCATCAGGGATCATTACAGGCAAAATTAATCAAGGCTAGGTTCAGCTCTGCAGCAACCAATTAAAAAAAATCTGCAAATGATAAAAATTTTACTTTAAATTGTATTACATATTTGGTCCAGCTGTTAAAACTCAGAACTTAATTGAATTTACTCATTTCGCTTTAACCCATTAGGACTGGTTTGGCAGGTCAAAAATTGTGATTAGGAACTGTCAGCTGATGACAATTACTGAGCATAATAAATACTCTGACTCTTCAAACCTTGTGATAACAGTCAAAAACCATGGGATCCTCTAAGTTGCTGGCTGAGGATAAAGCTAATAATACCTGCAAAGCCAGGGAAGGTTAAAAAAGATATCAAAGTGCTTTGAGCTTGCAATTTCCCCTGACCAAAATGTCATTAAGAAATGGGAACTGTGGAAGCCAGAACAAGATCTGGAATACCAAAAAACTGCTCATATGCTGGTAAGAAAGGCAAAGCAAAACCCCCAAATGACAGCAAACAACGTGCAAAAAAGTTTTGCTGACACAGGAGTGGTGGTGCACTGTTCTACCGTGCAACGTTGCTTGCACAAACATGATCTGCATGGAAGAGTCATCAAAAGGAACCTGCGACTTCCTCACAAAGGTCAACATCTAGATAAGCTAGAGTTATTTTGGAAACAAGTGCTGTGCACTGATGAAGTAAAAATGAAAATATTTTGTGAAGGAGGCCAAAAGGTATGTTTGGAGGAGAGAAAAAAAATTAAAAG